AAACTATTAAAGAATTGTGTAATCTGAATAAACCAAAATCGAAATCTATGGAACTATTAAGAATCAAAGAAAATTCAACTGACTCCCTTAATGAGGTTAATAAGTACTTTACATCGATTGGTAAAATCCTTGCCAACGAGACTCTTAATAAGTTAAATAAAAGCGAGGCAGATTTAACACGAGAAGCAACTAATAACAATAGTCCTAAAAACTCCATGCTACTGTTACCAACTGACCCAGTGGAAGTAAGATGCGTGATATTGAATCTTAAGAATAATAGTGCTGCAGGTCATGATCAAATTCCTACAAGAATGTTAAAAATATTTCATAGTATTCTAGCGGAGCCAATATCGCATCTATGTAATCTTAGTTTCTCATCAGGAGTTTTCCCTGAGATATTTAAGAAAGCCACTGTGTCGCCTATTCATAAGGCAGGTGATAAAACCCTTGCTTGTAACTACCGACCTATAGCTTTATTAAGTGTCATGTCCAAAATTTTAGAAAAGATTGTTAACAAGAGGCTAATTGGTTATCTAGAATCCAATGAGTTACTATCTCCCAATCAATTTGGTTTTAGAACCGGTAAGTCAACGGAAGACTGTATACTAAACGTGACCTCACAAGTAAATAAGTACGTAGATGAGGGTGACAGATGTGTAGGTGTTTTTATTGACCTACAAAAGGCATTTGACACAGTGTCAACGTCGATTCTTTTGCGGAGGTTGGAGAACTTGGGAATAAGAGGGACTGTACTGCAATGGTTTCAAAGTTATTAATGTGACAGAAAGCAGTGCGTTAGAGTGGATGGACATTCCAGTAATGACATGCGATGTACATACGGTGTCCCACAGGGCAGTACTCTCGGACCGACATTATTTTTAACTTACGTAAATGACATGACTAAAATTGAGTTAAATGCCGGTAATATAACTATGTATGCTGACGATACCGTAATAATATTTCATGCAAAGAGCTGGGAGCGTGTGCAACAAGTTGCTGAGGCGGGACTGGCCAAAATTTCTAGTTGGCTAGAAAATAATCTACTTTCACTAAACACAACCAAAACAAAATTAATCTGTTTCAGCAAAACTCTAGCGGGTCAACCAAATGACGAATTAAAATTAAAGATTCATACAAGTCCATGTAATAAACTTGATGATGTTCCAATATCTTGTAACTGCCCTTACATAACTAAAACTAACACAATAAAATATTTGGGAATTATAATTGACGAAAAGCTTCAGTGGAAACATCAAATAATATCACTTAGTAAAAAAATAAGAAAGCTTGTCTACGTTTTTAAGTTACTAAGGCTTGTAGCAAGTCCAAAGTTATTGTTGCAAACTTACAAGACTCTCTGTGAATCTTTAATATGTTACGGTATCTGTTCATGGGGCGGGGCTTGTAAGACAATTCTTGTCGAAGCTGAACGTGCCCAACGATGTATTTTAAAAGTAATGCTATTGCTTCCATTTCGTTATCCAACTACACTATTGTATGAAAAAGCCCGAGTACTAAGCGTAAGAAAACTTTTTATCTATCAATGCATACGAAGGTACCATCGTATAACTGCACCATGTATCAAAATTGCAAAGAAAAGGACATTCAAATACCCGACCCCTAGAACAAGAAGTATTTTTGCGAAAAGACACTATAGTTACATTGCCCCGCATTTGTACAATAAGTTATACAGGGAATTTAAATTAAACTTAAATAATTACAGCAACCACCAAATAAAGGCAAGGATCAGAGTGTGGTTAGAGAATCTTGATTATGACAGCACAGAAGCACTTATGCCGTAGGTTTACCACAAGCAATACTCACACACATATATTCCAAAGCACACACACCCACTCACACACTTACACACACACCAACACACGAACACACACACACACACACACACACACACAAAACAAGCGCTTAAAATAACATTCTTTTTATTTCTTATTTATATTTCTGTACTTGTTTAACTTACTAAATAACTAAATTATTATTATTATATAGAAATTGACCTTTTGACAAGGCTAACTTTAAGGGGAGGAACTGGTTCCTGAAACACAGTTATACTAGCTCAGGGACCAGGGAATCAATGAACATATGTAAAAAAGGTTGTAATTAATTAAATAAAAAAAATAAAAAAAAATAAAATACGAACTGTACATCATTAATATGCCATAGATTACGTCTGAATTTAAAAAGTGAAGACCCTTGGACAAATTATAAAGAAATATTCAAAGATAAATGTGTCAAATTATTTTTTGTAGATGTAATGACGCTTACTACAATTTCTTTGTCAATGAATTTTGTGCCAATTGTCACACAAACACGTTTATGATGCAGTCTCATTCTACTGTAAAGCACCCATGTCGGGTATTAAAAAAATTTAAATTAAATCTAATAAAGTAAAAATTAAATTGTTTAAATTTAACGCAATAAAATCCGTAAAATTAGTTCCATTTATAGTATTCGAGTAAATATAAGAAATCGTTATAATAAA